AAGAAGAAGAAGAAGAAGAAGAAGAAGAAGAAGAAGAAGAAGAAGAAGAAGAAAAACTGCATTTAGGTAGTATAGCGCATAATATTCACATTCTCCAGAATGCTCTGTTATGTGCTTTACAACTATTATAATTACTCCGAGAGCGGGAAAACAACGAAACATTTATACCACGAGGTGCTTCCTGTGCCTTTATAACTCTTCTTTATTATGAAAATACATAATGCTGGGCTTAGGAACTCTTAGTTACCGCCTGTAAACACAGTGTCAAAAACGGTCAGTCGAAATGGCAGGCCCGAGTAAACATTCACGTCGAAACTTTTTTGAAACTTTCACTGGTGCAGGTGACAAATCAGTTGATGATTTTAATGCTCAAGATAATGGCTAACCAGATCTAGATTTCTAGAAGGAAAGTTGAAAGTTTGAATGAAGAAGACTCTGTGCTGTCGACTGTGGAAGAAAACGAGCTGCCATGCACCCCCATACCCTGGACCAAGATTCTAGACTAGATCTAGAATCTAAATCTAGATCTAGATTCTAGGTCTAGATCTAGATCTACTTCACCTGTTCTAGTAGTAGTAGAATCTACTAGAGTCTAGATCTAGATCTAGATCATATCTAGACCTCCACTAGATCTAGATATATATCTAGATCTAGAATCTAGATCTAGAAAATCTAGATAGATCTAGATCTAGATCTAGATCTAGTAGGGCGTACTTGACTTTGTTCTGAGCCAGGCAATTGCCCATTACCTTTTGAAGATTTTTGTGTTTGTTAAATTTAAAGCAGACTTTAATGCTTTTCAGCGTGGGTTGTGGTTCAGCTGTGATTAATTCAAAAGTCCATTTTGCAGTTACACAGTGGCCTCTGCCCAACAGCAACGGCCTTGGGAAACAGGCCTTGGTTACTGCACCTGTCAGACGGATTTTGCTTTTGACTTAATTTTCGTAAAGGGGGGTGCGGTTATGTAGACCTAAACTTCAAAGATAATATTAATGATACCACCTCCCCCCCCCCCCCCCCCCCCCCCACACACACACACACCCACACATACTCATGGGTCCTAATCACATGATGTGGTGATGTTGTTTGTGTCAGAAAGTCAGAACATAGGCATGAGTGTTCGAGCATTGGTGATACTACATTTTCGGCGTGGAGGCTGTTGTTTTTAAGAGATTTAAACTAGATCTATAATAAACAAGAGAGGAGGGATGGATGCACACGCACTCAAATTGTAGTCCAGTGTTGATATTCACAGATAGCCTATTTTGAATCTGAGTAAAAAAAAATTGTCATACAATTTATTGTAACGGAGGTTGTTGTTATTGTTAAAAGGGTTAATTTATAATTCTATTCACAAGCTTAGGTTGCTGTTAGGCGGATATTGCTGACATCCGAGTTGGCACAGTTAATAAATGAACACCACTGTATTTCCATTCCTTCTCTGTTTTCAGTACTTCACTTGCTCATATGAAGTTATACGCAGACGCGAGCGCCATAAAACTCTCACCAAACCAACCTATCAGTACTTCACTGCTTTATTTGTAAAAGGAATGTCACTGGCAGAAGTCAAAAGGAACAATAAATGAATAGTGGCACCAAGACATCTGCTAAATGGCCGAACTGCATCCAGTATTTCATTTGTATTGTGTTGCAAACTAGAATCTAGTTCCCTAGAAATAAAATAAAATAAAAATGTTTGGCAACCTTAGGCAAACCAAAACTCTGTGAATAACAGAAGAATTCATTTCTATACAATGTCTGTCATTTTTATCTCTCTTCCGTCTTTCGTATACGACATTTATCCTTCTTTATATATCTCTTCTCCTTCTTTCCTAGACATCTATTGTCCTTTTCTCTCATCTATCTGTTCTGTGTATGTTACTCTCTAATTACGCCCCTGATCTTCAGTACTTAATATGACCTTGTTTGTGTTACAAGTGCTGTATAATTCCTATATATGTATATGGCTCTTTTGTTCTATGCAGACGGTCAATGTAGCTTAAGATGGTCTCAAAGTTTTCTTCATGCAGCTTCTTTCATGGCTAATTCTTCCTATGTTTGAAGCACGGATTCTGTCGCAGTGCTTGCATGTCAGTGTCGTAGATCGAAGCTCTGTATTTCCGCTGTTTTCCTTTCGTCGTTTATGCTTCTCTGTCTGGTTGTTTCTAAGGATGCTCTCTAGCATTATAGTTCTTTCCTTTATCACTTTCCTCCATGTTTTCCTGTCCTCAGCTATTTCTTCCCAGATGCTAACATCTGCTCCAAGCTTAGATATAAGCTGTTTTTCCTGGTGTCTTTTGTAAAATTTCTACTAAAACAAGAAAACAATTTTTCCTTAGGAACCGGTGATGCTTACCGAGGAAGAAGCCCGACAGTTAGCCAAGGTCATGAACAGTTTCCGGCACATGGAGCTGCACGCCTCTGGCCACGTGGCCGAAGGCACTGGGGGCTCGGCCAAAATGTCTTCGCGTCAAGGCAAAGGCAGCCTTGTGGCAGCTGCCGCTGGCGACTACAATCTCGTGCCGCGACCAGCTTCCACTGGGGCCGCGGCGTCATCCAAGGTCAAGGGGAAGTTCCATGAGCTGAAGCAAAGCGTGGTTGTGTCCGTGGCCCCGAGAGAGGCCGGAAGCTCTGGACAGGCGTCGAAGAAAGCAAAAGATGTGAGTTCTTCTGTTTGTTCACTCACAACTGTCGCAGGTGGGCCTTCCTGGGCTAGTCCTCGATTCCCTTTGTTTGGTGTTGTCTAGATCTCTTGTTTATAAATATATATATTATAATGTAATTTATGGTTGTTACTTTAACTCTGTATCTCAAGCAAGCTGCTATCAGGGACTCGTGGATGGTTGGCAGGTGCTCTGGTGGGATTTGCTTCTTCTTTCCTATCAAACGTCTATCGTCCTTACCTCCCCCTTCTTCTTTTTTATGTTTGTTACTCTCTAATCTTCTGGCACTCATATGACCTTATGCAGTTGCGAGTGCCGTAAAACCTCTACTAAAACTAAACTCTCAGGGACTCGTGGTCGGGACCCCTGTGCCGATGAGTCACTGACTGCGGCTCGGGCACATTCCTTTACGACGACTTCCACATCAAATTACTTTTCAGCAATTGCCAAAAACAGGCTTCTTTTATCGGGAGTTCATTCATTAGAAGGAGAATGATCAAAATAGGTTCACTTGTTTTGATTTAATGACCCATTTAGTGACGTTTTTGTCGTTTTTAGATTTAGTACCTAAGAAGGGGCTCGGCATAGTGGGTTTACTCCCCCACAGAGATAAAGACAAAAAAATATTTGTTCTTTTGTTAACTTCTATTAATTTTATACTGTTATATGGTCGCTTTTGAGGACACGCGGGCTAACCCAGATTTCGGGGGTTTGTAGAAATCTTGACCTACACCAAAAGTGGCCATTGCCCTACCTATAGGAGAAGTTTGGTTTCACTAGTGTGTATATTTGTTTGGTTATAGAGAAAACTCTCCTTGACTTTTAAAGAAATTGAACAAGGGGCAAAAACGTTATCTTCGATTTTCTCAAAACAGCATTTTTCGGGATAGCCCCCTTGTGCTTGAAAGCGACTATATACAACGAAAAAATAGTAACTAGTAAAAAATCCGAATTTTTGTGTCCATGTAGAGAAGAATATTTAAATATTCCTTTCCACCCGCCAGGTTTCTGTTGACAAGCAGGTGGTGATGAAAGAAGAGGAATCCTTGCTGGAGTGTATCGCGGACATCAATGTAGCCCCGGAGGTGATGGCACAGGCTCCTTCCTTGCAGGTGAATGTCACGTGTGTGTGTGTGTGTGTTGTGTGTGTGTGTGTGTGTGTGTGTGTGTGTGTGTGTGTGTGTCCTGTTGTGCTCTTGGGTATTTTTCTCTCTCTCTCTCTCTGTCTCTATCTCTCTATCTCTCTCTCTCTCTCTTTCCCTCTCTGTGTCTGTTTTTCTCCTTCTCTGTATATGCATATATATACATATGTCTGTCTGTTTGTGAGTCTTTCTGCCTGTTTGTGTTACTACATTTGTGTGTGTTTCTTCTTTCGTTTTGGACCTTTTCATTGTTTTCTCATATATTTATTATCAGCTACTAAAGAAAATCCTGTTTCTGACCACAGCAAATGTGTGAGCAGCTGAGCGTGCGCCGGGGCAGTCTGGCGGGCAGTGAGTGCACAGTGGACAGTGTCCAGTCCACCCCAGTTGAGGAGACCATACAGTGGAAGAAAGGCAACATTCTCGGCCGGGGGGCCTTTGGCACAGTGAGTTCAGTTGGAGGACAACTTTTTCTTGTGAAATCAATCATTTATGTTATAATAGATGGTGGGCTAATTTATTGTGTACGATGAATTTGAAGTAAGTTGTAGCCAATAAAAGATATTTATGTGGTTCATACTGAACTCTTTTTATCCTAGCCGTACCCTCACGGACTCTGTGCCTGTCCTGGGGCCGCCACGCCATACGAGTTGGAATTCAGGGTGTATATTTGAAAGTGCTGTATTTTTTACATTTACTTTTAGGTTTTAAGGAAATTTGGCAGTTGTGTTTGAAATTCAATGTGGTTTTCGTAAATGTATGTGGTTAAGAATTACACCAATTGCACTAAGTAGATTTTGAGGTGTAATTCCAATTAGACCCTGATTGCAGCGCCCACAACGTCTTCTTGGATTTATAGATCTCCCTCTACCCATCGATTCAGCACGAATTCTAGTACCGGTCACTTCACCATGATCATAATCACTATTTGATGAGTCAAATGCCTGTTCGTTATCATCCACGACGGAATTCATGGCACTTGATTCAGAGTCACTTTCATCAAATTAGTCTCATTCCCCCTCACAACCTAGCGCCACTTCTAAAAGTACTTCGTCGTTCGTGAACATGTGTTTTCCGGACATTTTTCAATCTACTACACCCATTAAAACAAAGAAACTGCTGTTCGTTGGAAAATTGAACTATTCAGACTGCTAGCCTCGCCGTGTTTGCATATTTTGGTAATTACAGAACTAGCTGTTTGTCGTGGCTGTATAGCTGTTCCGAGTTAACTCATAGCCCCTGATAAAAAGAGTTAATAGAAGTTTGTTAGTTTGGTTATGCTATTGAGAATGAAAAGTATGTAGTTCATACTTAATAAAAGCGTTATTAATTGTGTTTGATAAAATTCAAAAGCTCAGGAAGTCATTGCAAATAAAAACTTTGTAGGTACGTGTACAATTTAAATTATCCCAGACAGCTACTCAGTGTTGAGGAGAGAAATTATATTATTTTAGGCAAAATAAAACTGAACTTGTTCACGACACGAGCTGCTCTGTCCGTCAGGTGTGGTGTGGCTTGACCAACGAGGGTCAGCTGATAGCGGTGAAGCAGATTGAACTGACCACCAAAGACATCCCCAAAGCCCAGCATGAGTACGAGAAGATCCAAGAGGAAGTGGAGCTCCTCAAGACTCTAGAGCACATCAACATTGTGGGGTAGGTGGAAAACTTATAATTAAACCAAACTTCTCCTATAGGTAGGGCAATGCCCACTTTTGGTGTAGGTCACGATTTCTGGAAACCCCTGAAGTCTGGGTTAGCCCGCTTGTCCTTAAAAGTGACCAATTATACTTGCTTTTATATAGTGCACATCCGCACTCTGCAGCAAGCTCTATGTGCTTTACACAAATCATTATTACCCCCAGCAGACCGTAGAACATATCAGCATTGTGGTGAGGTGGAAAGCTTATCATTGTACCATATATCATCCTTATCTCCCCTTTTTCTTTTTTATGTTTGTTACTCTCTTGTAACAGTTCTAATCTTCTGGCGCTCATATGACCTTATGCTGTTGCGAGTGCCGTAAAACCTCTACGAAAACTAAACTAAACTATCATTGTACTTACATTTATAGTATAACACGGATAGACAGCGAAAGGTCTTGTCAGTATGTTAGTGTTTTAGAGCCTATAAATGACCCCTCGCATGCACTGTATGCTTCCCGGGAAGTTGAGGTTGTTTCAGAATGCTCTCAGGTCTGCTGGGGTAATAGTATGGATTATGAAGCGCATAGAGCTTACTGTTGAGCGGGCATTTGCGCTATATAAATGCTAGCTATTATTACTATAGCTCAAATTCGTTGGGACCTGCCTCGGTAGTTCGAGGAATCCTTAGTTCGAGGAATATCTTACAAAGATAAAGAAGAAAAAAACGGGACCGCAGGCACAGTTCGACGGATGCGTGATTTCGAGTCTTCTGTGTTTGACCTATCTGTGTTATACTGTATATACAGTGGATATCCACGCTCTATGCTCATTACATCCATTATTACCCCAGCAGACCCTAGAACATTCAGAAACATTTTCGGCTTCCCGGGAAGCACACAGTGCAAGCTGCGGATTGCACGCGCTCAAACACTAACAAACTTATAAGGTCTTTCACTTTTTATAGCTGGGTACCCATTCCCAGTTAGGTGAAGTGAGGAAAATTCATGTAAAGTTCCTTTCCGAAGGACACGATCTCGGGATTCAAACCCACAGCCTTACAGTTGCAAGTCTGTGAGCCTAACCACTAGGCGACCGACGTCACAACTAGTCTCTTCCATCTTCCCTATCAAACATCTGCTGTCATGATCTCTACTTCTTTTCTTTGTATGTTGCTCTCTAGTAGTGACACCTATAATCTTTCATGCTTTTATCTCCTATTTGTGTTACGAGTGCTGTAAAAACTATCGCAAAAACCTGCCAGTGTTGCAATTATTGTTTCTTTCACTGTTATTACTTTTTATAATTGTTATCATCATCATCATCATCGTCATCATCATCATTATTATTATTATTATTATTATTATTATTATATTATTGTTGTTATCATCATCATCACCATCATTATTATTTTCATTACTATCTTTATTAGTACAATTATTATTAATGTTATTATTATTATTATATAGTTGTTGTAGTTATGATGAAGTCTCCTGTGTTCCCTTGTGCAGCTACCTGGGCACCAGCCTGGAGGAAAGTACCGTGAGTATCTTCATGCAGTTTATCCCAGGCGGATCCATCGCCAGCATCCTGGCGCGCTTCGGAGCGCTGGACGAGTCGGTGTTCCGGCGCTACACGCGGCAGATCCTGGAAGGTGTGGAGTATCTGCACGAGAATGACGTCATTCACAGGTGGGTGGAGACTTTGATAGATAAGATAAGATAAGATAAGATAAGATAAGATAAGATGCATCTTTATTGTCCAGGTCCTGGCACATTGGTTTGATGTTTCACCACAGGCACACACAAACACACACACACACACACACACACACACACACACACACACACACACACACAAACACACACACACACACCCACACACACACAAACATACATGCACATGGAGGCTTACAGTCACATACATAATATAAATGAGCAGCAATATAAACAATAATAATCTTAAGCTAGATACATACTCAGTACTCTGGTGTGGTTTGCTCCTTCTTTCCTATCCAACATCTATCACCCTTATCTCCTCTCCTTCTTTTTTGTGTTTGTTACTCTCTTGGAGCGCCTCCTAATCTTCGGCAGTTTGTATTACCTTATTGTGTTGCAAGTGCCGTAAAACTTTTACTAAAACTGAAACCACCTCCATCATAAAAAAAGAAAACGAAAACACCTTGTGCGGCCAATCTTAAGCTAAACTTTGTGAGAATGCCCCATTTTCATTATGATTTCGATAAAGAAAGTTCATAAGTTCATTTCCTCTGTGTGCGTCTGTCAGAGACATCAAAGGAGCCAATGTGATGCTGATGCCAAACGGTGTGATCAAACTCATCGACTTTGGCTGTGCCAAGCGACTCTGCATCAACCTAAGCATCTCGCAGACGGAGATCCTCAAGTCGATGAAAGGGACGCCTTTCTGGATGGCCCCGGAGGTGGTCAACGAGACGGGACACGGGAAGAAGTCGGATATTTGGTAAGAAAGAAAAGTTTTGTGTTTTTGGGGGCTCTTTTGTTGCTTTGTTGTTGTTGTTTTTTTGGTGAGAAATACCTTTCTTTTCTTTTAGCTAGAAATAGTTGGCTTTGTGTTTGTTTTTGTATTTTTTTGTAAGAAATACCTTTTTCTTGTCAAGAAGTAGTGGGGGTTTTTTTGTTTGCTTTTTTTGTAAGAAATGCCATTCTTTTGTTGTCAAGAAATAGTTGGGGGGAGGGGTTAGGAGAGAAATACAGGTGCTTTTTAAAAATTGTTTAGTTTTTTTAATTTTTAGATTATTATTTATTTCTTTAGTTAGCAACAGGTTTTTTGAAATGTAAGACAGATGTACTGCGCCCCAAGTTTTGATAATCTTTTTTTTTCAGTTTCTTAATATGTGGAATTCCTTTGACGTTCTCTGGCAAATATTTTGTCGAAATTCAAATTCTAGATGTTGGGGGGGGGGGGACAAAAAATCCCACAATGTCAGTGAAATTGTTACAGATTTTTTCTCTGTCCTGAGAAATGTTGTTCTCAGAACCGCTACACAGTTTGCTGGTGATTTGTTTTTGGATTCTTGTGTTGTTCTGTATTGGTGTAATATTGTGTATTTGTGTATGTATACGTGTGTATGTATTGGTGTAATATTGTTTGTGATTGTATACGGGTGTATGTATTGGTGTAATATTGTGTATTTGTGTATGTATACGTGTGTATGTATTGGTGTAATATTGTTTGTGATTGTATACGGGTGTATGTATTGGTGTAATATTGTGTATTTGTGTATGTATACGTGTGTATGTATTGGTGTAATATTGTTTGTGATTGTATACGGGTGTATGTATTGGTGTTTGTTTGCCATTGTAAAGCAAATTGCCCTTCAGGGATCAATAAAAATGTAATTACTTATTAATTAATTTTGTATTTACTGGTACTGGGTATAAGTACAGTCTGCCCAGCTCTAGCAGCTACCTTTAGTAAACAGTCACGTGTACAAAGGGCCACTCGCCATTTTCACGTTCACTTCTTTTGGACCTTTTTTTTTTTTAAATACACCCCCCAGGGCAATGCCACTGACTGTAGTGTCTTTAGGCCCTTCCCAAAGGGGGGACATTTCTCGTTCTTATGCACTGTAGAATTGTCAATGGGCTGATTGAACAATGTCATGCTCATAACTGTGCCTGAACTACAACAGGAAACTGCTGCTTTTTCTTTCCTCTTCCTTACTATCGTCATTTTTCCTCTACTTCTTTTGTATGTTTGTCACACTCTTGTGACCCACTATTTCCAGGGTGCTTTGATAGTCGAAGCAGACTTTGTGCTGTTGAGGCTAGAGAGGTGAGCAGTGTAAACCCGATTCCCTGTTTGGACTTCTCTGTTGACATCCACCCCTTGGCGCTCATATGACCTTATGCGGTTGCGAGCGCTGTAAAACCTTACTAAAACGAACAAAACAAAGAGATTTCCGACTCTTGTTTCAATGACCCCTCCCATTGTGAAAGCACTGTTTTGTATTTGTCGTGTTTTCAACAGGAGTATCGGCTGTACTGTGTTTGAGATGGCTACCAGGAAACCTCCATGGTATGTGCTTGTGGATATGTTTGTTCTCTCTCTCTCTCTTGTGTCTCTGTGTCTCTTTGTCTCTATCTCTTTCTATTCCTCTGTGTATCTTTGTGTATCTCTCTCTCTCTCTCTCTCTCTCTCTCTCTCTCTCTCTCTCTCTTTTCTCTCTCTCTCTCATCTCTCTCTCTGTATCTCTCTCTCTTTCTCTCTCCCACTTTCTCTCTCTCCCAGTCTCTCCCCCTCTCTCTGTCTGTCTCTCTCTCTGTCTCTCTCTCTCTCTATCTATCTTTCTCTTAGTCAAACAAAAGCAACATTCTCTGTGGATGAGTGGAGGGTACCACTGACTTGTTCTACTTCTTTTCTCTCCCTCTCTTGTTTCTATTCTGTCTCTGTCTGTTTTATTTCTTCTCTGCCCTTCACCTCGACACAACGCAGAAGTCAATGAACGTGCATACATAATATGAAGTGAGACGTGTTGACAAAATGAGTAACTTCTCGCAAACCAAGAATAGAAATTTCCGCCGAAAATCGACGCTGGGTTCAGATTTATAGATTTTTAATTGGTGCCATTTTGATCAAGTCTACTGTTTCTTTCGTCATTCCATACTTACAAATTGTACAAACTCCACCTATAAAGTTGATGGATCAATTTCCATAAGGCTAGGATCCGAGAAGTAATTCATTTTGTCAGCGCACATCATATTTATGCTCTTTACACTTACGCTAACACATAAACAGACATTCACACTGTCACACTCTCCTCCTCCTTTTTTGCGTTTGTTACTCTCTTGTGGTAACACCTCTAATCTTCCACTCTTATATGACCTTATTGTTTTGCAAGTGCCGTAAAACTTTTACTAAAACTAAACTGATACAGTCACAGCACTTTCATCAACGTCTGTGGTGTAGCAGCTTGGTGCTTCGCTATGGCACACCGTATTCCCGAGTTCAATTCCTGGGTGGGGGAGAATTTTTATAGAGTATCTCGGTCTTTCTGATGGGATGTTGTTGTAATCCTCTCAGCCTTGGTTAGGCCCTGACAGGCAGGTTCAGAAGCCCGACTCGTAAATAATCTAAGTTATATCAACGAGGGTGTCTGTTGCCCCTGGTATCAGAAATACTTAATACAACGACAAAACACAGCTGATCAACCCTTGTAAATTCTTTGCCATATCAAGAGGCCAAAGGGCTAGAAGCCAGGTGGCCACTGGATCGGAAAAGTTAAGTAAAGTGAAAGTAAAGTATCAACGAGAGTGTGAAAAGACCTATATATTTTTTTTTTTTACGTAAAAAATCAGCAGAATCAATGTTTTTGGGTTTTTTCTTTACATCCAGGGCTGACATGAATCCTATGGCGGCCATCTTTGCCATCGGGTCGGCGGACCGCCCTGTACCCTCTCTGCCAGAGAAGTTTTCCCTGGAGGCTCGGGACTTTATCTCGGAATGTCTCACAAGGTAACGTACATAATCTCAACACCTTTTTTGTCCATAAATAAACTCATTGCCGTGTGAATTTTACTTGTAAACATAGATTAAAGGTGCAAAATCTGTAATTTTCCAGTTTTCAAGGACTGTCAAGCTATTGAATTTACCAAATTTTGGTGACCATTTTCTCTCTAAACTTCTATTCAAAAGAGATGGGTATTTTTTTCATCGAAAGCAAGGGAAAAAAAATCACCTTTAAGATGATATCAATAACTCCAAATGCCCAAAAATTGACGAGCACCTGATTCCACCATGTCGTGACTCATATATATATGTATTGTGTATCACCGTCTATGGGTAATTTGGTAATTTTGGTGGATCGTAGCGATCACCCGAATAGCGACTTGTATTATTTGGAAATACATGAAGGTGTGCGGTATAAGAATTTTAACTCTCTTAAGGTGGCAAAAGTGGGTGCTTGTTTTTAAAAGTCTCTGAGCACTGGTTTGTATAGATGACAACCTTCAGGGAGATGATAAACCGTTCTGTGTCAGATGCAACACTGATTTCCCCATTAGACACATCTTATAACAGAATGTCCAGACTTCGGAGAGTCCCGAAGGAAATATTTTAAATGCAAAAATTTGCAAGATCTGTTCTCTGGCGTTGACATCCACCCCTTGGCACTCATATGACTTTATGCAGTTGCAAGCGCCTTCAAACCTTACTAAAACTAAACTCTTACTGAGCTAAATTTTGAAAAAAGTTGACGTGAGAGAAGAAACAAGGGGCAGACCAAGTCACTCTCATTATGTTGTTTTGTTTTGTTTTTCTCCCTGCTCACAGAGATCAAGAGAAGAGACCCAGCGCCTCGCAACTTTTGGACCATCTGTTCATCACGCGGAGAAACAGTCGCAGAAACTCCAAGACAAACGCCTGAGATTCTGAGAACAATTATGTACTCAGTATAGGTGCTCATCTTTTACGAAAATGTAGGCAAGAGGACATGACCATCATGATAACAAGGAAAGGATGGAGATGGATTGGGCATGTTCTGAGAAGTGAACCAGACTCTATTGTAAAGACTGCCCTCCACTGGACCCCCGAAGGACGTCGCAAGAGGGGCAGACCCAAAGTGACCTGGATACGCAGGGTAGAGTCTGAAATGAAGTCCTGGATCCATTCATGGGGGACGTTGACCAAGATGGTCCAAAACAGACAGAGCTGGAGATCCTTTGTTGCTGCCCTGAACGCCAGATGGTGTAACGGGTAGTAAGGAAAAAAGTATAGGTTCTCATAACTTTGCTGTCAATGGTAAATGCCTGAGACTCTGAGAATAATTATGGTAATCAGTATGGGCTCCTAGCTTTGCTGTCAATGGTAAATGCCTGAGAAAAACAAAGAGAACATCATAATGCCATACTCAGTTCGTGATCATGGCTTCCCTGACAATGACAGGTAACGGAAATAACGAGAATATTGTACTCAGTGTATGCTCTTGGCTTTCCCGACAATGGAAAAAGGACACTTCTCAAATCTGTCTCGAAATGCTGAATGTTTTACGCATTTTTTTTGTATGAGCTTACCAGCCAGCTTGATGCCAAAATAAGTTATTACTGAGGCCAGCCCTCCAGACTGAAGAGTGTTGGGAGTTTTATTTCTGTCTAGACGGGGCGTTTCATGGACACACAGGTTCTTGGATCAGGAAGGAGGGCTAGGCTGGCGCCGGAGTGGCACCCCCCGCTGATGGGGAGTTGTGCTTCTTGTTGCTCCTCTCAAGCACTCTGGGTCCAAGGTGGATTTTGTAAAAATATTATTTTTTAAAATATTTTTGTATTTTAATTTAATGTATATTGGCAGATCATCATACGAGTCCTTTGAGGAAAGTCATGGAAAAGGGCCTGTGTAATATTGTACAAAAGATACTCGTTACTTTTTTTAAAGACTTGGCCTCAACATAGATCAGCTTTTGACACTTGGGAACGTGCAGCAGCGGACGATAGAGATTCCTTCTGAAGGTTTATTTAAGTTGTTCAAACCCAATGCAGGGAGACCCAAAACTTTACAGGAGCCTGGAGGCCCCTTGGCGAACAGCTGCTTTGGCACGAGAGACCGGGATGTCTTCCTTTGGGAGGAGGGCCGAGAAAAGGAAGAAGATTCCCCCCACCTGATGGTAAGACAGAGCCCAGTCAAAGATGAGGTTGGGAGAAGACGTTGGCGATGGATTGGACACACTTTCAGGAAATCAGGCAGCTGCATAACTAGGAAAATATTAGATTGGAACCCACAGGGTGAAAGATCAAGGGGAAGACCATGTGGAACCTGGAGAAGAGTTCCGGGAATGGATGTACAGAAAAGTGGGAAGACATGGAGTGACATCAAGTGGCTATCCCAGGATAGAGAAATGTGGAAAGTGTTTATTCGTGGCCTATATCCTGATGCAGGGTGAGAAAGGCAATGATGATGATGATGTTGATGGGAATAATGTGTACGTAGATTGGTCCAGGGGGGCGTAGAGTGTCAGAGGTGTTGATACCAAATATCGTATATAAGAGGATAGTTCACTCCTCTCTTTGAGCCAATTTTTAAAAGTGTCCTCAAAATCCGGTGGCGCCCTCTTCGAAAAAGTGCGGACTTTGCGAACAGAGTTACCCTACTTGTGTGAAAAACAATAAAAGTGAAATTAACAAACTGTGCTATTCCTATTCTTCTTCTGGAGAAACGTAAGAGAGCTTCAAAACAAAGACTGCAGCGCTATCTGAAGCAATGCGTGGACTTCCGCGGACACTTTTTTGGCCGAGTGAACATTCTTGTTATGTACGATCTTTGTCGATACGAAGCTCCTACGTCAGATCAATACTCAGTTTTTAAAAATATTTAGTGAATCCTGCTGAGAAGTTTTTATGTTTTTATATATCTTGTGTTTGTGTGTGCGTGTGTGTGTGTGTGTGTGTGTGTGTGTGTGTGTGTGTGTGTGTGTGTGTGTGTGTGTGTGTGTGTGTGTAGTATGTTGCATGCATGGATGTATGTATGTATGTATGTATGTATCTATGCATGTATGTATGTATCTATGTATGTATGAATGTATGTATGTATGTATGTACTATATATATATATATTCATGCAAGTATTATTGTTGGATACGCTCTTGATGAGACTGATGTAAGTCCAAAGTTGTGAAGTGACGTTATTTGTGATGTGCATCCTTTGTTTCATCTCTTCCTTCCTGTGTATGTTACAGAAAAATGTCCACCGTTCACCAACTGCTGATGATTAGTGATTATATCTCCCTTCCATTGGTGAAGCTAATTGCCCTCCCCCTTTCTCCCCTTCTCCCCCTCTCTTCCTATTCCTCCTCCTCGCTCCCTTCTCCCCCTTGCTCCCTCTTATCCTCCCTCCCAGTGTCAATTTTCGGCAGATATCTTCATTCCTGATTTGCAAGAAGTAACTCGTTTTGTCAGCACGCCACACGTACATACATTCTTTCTGTAGGCCGATACTTCTATTTGGATCACAGTGAACTGAGTGGTATCACAGATAATTGACACAAAGAAAACCTTTGTGCTTATGGGTAGAGTTTGTGGAGAATTTTCTTTGTGGTTTTTTTTGTTTTGTTTTTTAGGGGGGGGGGGGCTGTTGGGCTTTTTCTTTTTTAAATAACTGAAAGAGCACCTTCATTCTCCTCTCACTCAATTCTTTTTCTCACTGGTTTTCTCTCGATCAAAAATAACGCTGACTGTGGTTAATGTGACTTGAAAGTCATACTGAACGTTCAAAGTGATCCAATGGCCTCGAATTTCACAAGAATTAATGTTTGTTCTCGCATTGGTGGTGTCGTTAGTATTATTTTGATTATTATGGTTATTGTGATTATTGTGTTGTTGAATCAAAAATACTCCAAGACTTCTGGAATTGAATTGTTTAGTTATTTGTGTGAAGCAGGTCTCTATTCAGTAGGGTTTTTGTATTTTTTGGTAGTTTTTGTGACCTCATTCTGTTACAAGCGCTGTAAAACTCTTACTAAAACTAAAATAGTCTTCTTCTTGTGTAATGTAGGCAGCTGAGAAGGTGATTCTACCTGGTGTTGTTCCGTGGCTAAAACGTTGAGTACTTTTTGCAATGCTGATTGATGTGGCTCTACGTCCCTATCCTAGGGTTACAAAGTTCTCTCTGCTCAGTAGACCTAGTTTTGAGAAATCTGACGTTAAAGATTTTGAGTTTTACAACATGCCAAGCTTTTTCAAATGCAATTCTATCTTGAATATCTTGATAACGACCCGAATAATCTTACAATTTTTTGTATAGCAGATAGAACATTCAATAGTTTCTGACCTTATGGACATAATAACTCAAAACAGCCAAAAACATCAGACAGAATTTTGTAATTCTAAGGTAGGGATTAGTTGTTAAGATGTGTATCTTTGAGCTTTCTCCTTAGATGTTTGCAGTGGACGAGGTTGTCGAGTGAAGAGATGAATGGTGACACATGAACAATGATTTAATGTTTGGGAAAAAGAAAGACAGGCAAACAGACTGACAGACAGACAGACAGAGAAACAAAAGAGGGAAATGTCTTAAATAGAGATAAGTCTGTACTTATTATGTAACAGATGCCGTAAAAATAATGCTAAGACTGTATTCATTATATATCAAATATCTTAAATAATGCTAAGTCTGTATGATTGATTTAACAAGTGTAATAAATAACGCCAAGCGTGTATTAATTAATTATGTCACAAATGTAGTAATTAATGCTAAGTTTCCACGTTGTATGTAACAAATCAATGCGTTTGATCTTCCAATGGCCATGAGGTGGAACTGCTGCTATTTTATCACTGTCGCTGCCAAGATTTTTATGCGTACATTTTTTGTACATTACGTATGTTCTGAAATGACAAATGTACTGATTGGTATTGTATTATCTACTGTCATCCATCAATGTCTTTCTTGTTTGCAGTTCTAGTGTTCTAGTAGGGCTTTCTGAGAGAGACTCATATTAAGGGCTTGCAATTTACAAGCCAAAAGCTTTCATTGGTTTACCACTTTATAGAACAGGTGTACTGTACTGGGGTCACATATTGTTGTTATCGATTCAGCATTGTAATTGTATGCAAATTTTCCCCCTTTTTGTACCAATTTTTTTCCCAACATTGTCAGTACGTACTTATTGTGAAAACTGTTACTTTAGTTTTACTCTTTCGTCCTCGGATGCCGTTGATCGTTGAGGGTAGATGCATTTTTTTCTATGGTAGGCCAGCTCTGCAGCTGTTTCAGCTGAGTTGTAGTTTCTCAGGGTTCCTTTGACTCTCCCTCAATCCACCTTTTGCGTGGTCTACCTCTTCCTTTGTAGCCTGAGTGCTTTGTGTTATTGGCTCTCGAGGCTGGCTGACTTTGTGGCATTCGTTATAGAGGGCCAAACCACTTTATTCTCTTTTTTACCGTGAAGTGCAGGAGGCTGGGCCCAGTGCCAATAGTTGCTCTTACATCTTCATTTCTCTCTGCTGTCTGTCTGTTCTTGTGATGTTTACAGTTTTGGGAGACATTTCATCTTGCATGCTGTAATTTTGCTTTTATGAATTTTACTTAATGTCCCCAAGTCTAGCACTGATAGCATAATGCTGGTATAAACATTGAAGTCATTATATCTTTGAGTCCATGGGGATGTTTCGATAAAATAGATGGGGGGCAAGCTGATAGGTGACAGTGTGGGCTTTTTGAGTTCGTATTTCTATGTATATATTTGTCAATCATTCATAAATACTGAACACCACAAGAGTTTTATGACGGTTTTGTAAAAGGTGTGTCTTAGCCTTTTCACAACACGTTAGATTGATAGAACGTCTCAAGTGTGTCACAACACGTCTGACTGTTACAATGTCCTAAGTGTGTATTACACGTCTGACTGTATGTATGTCTGAAGTGTGTATTACACGTCTGACTGTATGTATGTCTGAAGTGTGTATTACACGTCTGACTGTATGTATGTCTGAAGTATGTCACAGCACGTCTGACTGTATGAATGTCTGAA